TAGAGATCTATAAACCTGGTTTCACCCTACTGCTAATGCACAGCTGTTTGGAACAGCAGCTACCCGAAGTACAGCTGGATTATCTCAATTTCACACTCATCTGAAGCACTGGATCTTTACAAAACCCCTATTGATAACTGCACACATGCACATTGCCTTTCAGACCACTTTGCCAGAGCATAACTGTACCCACCATTACTTTTAAATGATGAATAATTTGATTGTATATGTATCTTAACTTTTTTTTTTAATATATATTCTTATTATTAGGTTTGAATGTGAAGTTAATTCAATGCAACTGCAGTTGCCTTTGAACACTGAAATAGTGCTCAAAGAGTTGGAAGCAGTGTAGGCTCAGGCTCTGTCCTACAGCTACCAGTGGAAGGGATTCCATACAAAGCTGCCAAAAAGCGACTGCAGAGGACCAGATCTGACTTTCCTATAGGCAGGAATGCATCTGCAACACTGACTAAACAGCAGGAACTTTAACTTGTGAGGCAGAGGAAAAACCTGTGAATGAACAATGGCCTAAAGCAGTATTCCAACTTATGAATCTTTATTAAAAAAAATTCCACATCTGTTGCAATTTGTCTTCAGTGCAAGATAAACTAAGCTCAGAGTCGTCACAAGCAATAAGAAAATAGGTAAAACAAAAGGGGTAAGAAACCATTCGTACAATTTGGAATCACGCTTTGAAAAATCAACTACATGCCATCACTCAGCTTTGGGTTACATCTTTACTTCCTGCATGCAGAGGGATGAGCAAGAGCTGTGTGCTCCTCAGTGATTTACTTCCCTACCTTTATGCTCTCAGGGTTGCAGACTGCATTACTCTATTTAAGTTCTCATCTATTCTCTGCCTGTAGCCAGCAGCACTCAGTTAACTCATCTGCAATTCTGATTGTGCACACAGCACCCCTCATTGCCTTCCAAGCATGTGCCCCTGGCGACTCAGTTATCATATGTGTACTTAGGGTTCATCTACATACCGATCCATCAGGGAACCACAGTAACAGCTACACTTTGATTTCTCTCTTAAATACTGTTTGCCTTCTGTAAAACAGCCATCCAGGGAAACTTCTGTGGGAGCGAGCTGATCATTAGACTGTTAATATTTAATTAAACATTTAAGAAACAAACTCGACATTCAGAAGCCTTCCTCCTAGCTTTGTGTACCATACAAAACAATATCCTATGATTTAAAAATTGCATTTGTAATTACATCTCAAAAAAGTCATTATCTCTCCGCTCAGAGCACAAACTGTTCTTCCCATAGCTTTATCTGCACTACGTTCAGTCATTTCTTTGGCAGGTTTCCCAACACAGTGTCATTGTGAGAACTGAATTAGCAGTGTAATATTTGACAGCCATAACAAACTTCTTGCACAGGTATTTCCTTAAAGTAATGTGATGCACATGCATAGGAGCTCCGCAAAATATTCAGTGGATAAGCTCTTCAAGCAATGGTAAGATGGAGGATATTGGTGGGGTTTAGGTGCTTCTTCCACAGGCAGTAAGTCCTAATGGTCATGGCATCTTATTTGACAAGGCAAAATAATGGAATTAAAATTGTTTAAAATTATTAATATATGTCAGACTGCATGACAGTAGTGTGCTCTGCCCCACCTACCACTAATCTGGACATGGAAAAAAAACCTACTTTCCTCTCAATAGCAAAATAAACTTCTGCCTGCAAAGGACAGAATCAGAAAATGTGTGGTCTGCAGTCCTGAAGCTTTAAAGAAACGAAGTAAAACTTCTATTGTATTCAACAGAAGCAGAATACAACACTCTGAAAAACAAACAATTCAGGAAAGCCTAAGAGGAACTGGGAACTCTCGACAAATGGTAGCATTAACTGCCTCATCTTTTACTGTGTAAAATGAGCCCAACATCCATGGCAATCATTTGGGCTTGAAAGAAGCTCAGTAGGATATCCAGACCTGACAGCTGATAGTTGGGTTTCTCAAACACTTCCACAATCACATTTGGTCTGTCATTTGAGGCCAAGGCTTCCTGCCAAGTTTAACACTGCCTATCCTGCTTTCTCTCCAAGCAAGTGTTCTCTACAGTCTTCCTTACTTGAGGTTATCAACCTTTTTCCTCATCTCATCTTCAATAAAACATTCTCTCTTAAATACAATCATTCTTCTACTTACTCAGCTCAAAGATATTGCTCCCATGCTGTACACAAGCCATTTGTGTGAAGGGAAAGGGGAAAGTACTCATAGATGGTTTAAGAAACAAAGATGGCAGTGCTATATTGCCAAACCAGTTGCTCTTCTAGAAGGGTCAGGGCTGCAGTGAAGCAAGTTGCTAAAGGAAGAATCGGGCATACTCAGAATATCAAGTAAAATGGATGACCTGAGATATACACGTGATACATCTGCTGTGCTTCAATAAAAAGATGTCTGTTTGAAATGTGATGTCAAGATTTCCATAAAGAAAATAAGTGCTTTGTAAAATGTGATGTTACACTTGCATAATCTGAAATGTGGCAATAAAAATGCATTCACTGAAACACTACTAATTCTAAACAAGAATTAACCCCTTTTTATGCGGGGATAGAGTGTGAAGAGCTACATGAACGCTACAGTAGAAGCCCCAAGCCTGCCTATGCTCCAAAACAATCCCATAGCAATAGCAGGGAGGAACATCCGCTGTATTTTCACTCCCAAAGTGGGTGGATTTTAGTGCACAACAGAACACACTCGCTTTGAGTTGTTTCTATCTGGTACACAGAGCAGAAATGAGATATAAAATGAAAAGCTGTTGACTGAGCCCTGCCCCAGGACGAATGAGAAAATTAGAGCAAGCTGTGCTTCAAGCCTACACTTTTCCTCACTTTTGTCTAGTCTAGACTTCTGATACATTGTAATGCTGTCCTCTTTGTAACAAGAGCTGCAACTCCACTGAACTTTGCTTCCCCCAGAAAGCACAGCTCACGATGTCTTTTAATACCTGTTAAAGACACTGAAAGCTAGCTTGTAAAAAAAAAAAAAAAAAAAAAAAAAGTCAGCAGCTGAGTGGAAAAAGTGGAAGGTATATAAAAAAGCCTCCAAAACTCCTAATGGATGCAACACTTGTGGAAGCATTTTCTTACCAGTTTTCAGGCCCTATTGAATGTTTATACTCCAGAACTGATAATTTTACACTTGGAAGTGTATTTATCCATTCTATACTTTTTACTATTACTTGCTGTACAGCGTTGCTGAGCAGCTGGCACAGAACCAGCTCCTGCTCAGTAAGTGACGTAGGGAAAAACCCTCTTCTGGCAAATATCAAACTGATATTTCAAACTGAAAAATCATCATTTAAGCATGTCTCCCAGGCTGGGGGGAAAGCAGCAGGCTAATGGAAAGTAAAAACATCATTTTGGGAGGTAGGGAAATGCTGAGCAGCCTCCTTCCACCACAGCGTTTTGAAGGCAATAAGTGAGCAAGCACTTTCCTAACGGAAGAGCACAAGGCTGTATCCTGAAGCCTCTGAAGTCAGATTTGCTGATGAATTCAGTGTCAGTAGGATCCAGATTATAATAAAAACTAACTGCCACAGAAACAGGGGAAGAACAGAAAGGAATTAAAGATCAGCTCCCAGCCAGGAACAGGGAGCAGAAGGACCGCAGCCCAACACATGCAGGGGAAATAGCATGTGTTTTTGTATGCTGAACTCTTTGTATGCATACTCTTTGTATGCTGAACCATATTTTGTATGCTGAACTCTCACAAACAGCACTTTTGAACATTTTATAGAAATCTGTACAGGGAATTGTTAACCTCTTCAAAGTTCTGACATGTGTTGTTACTTATTGGAACGACTTCTAGAACAGAAGTTTTACCCTTTTTCCATCTATGTTACTGAGTAATAATAAGAGAAAATTGCATTAAGTACAATGAGCACTAATCAATCCCAATCAGTTCCTAAGTACAATTAATTAAATTACTGTGTGCTGTACAAATGGATTTTTAAAAAATTAAACGTTTCATTTATTGACTTTTTAGACACATCAATATTCACTGCAAGGGATCCTTTTCCTAATAATGAAGTTAAGCAGGCAGAACATTAAGCAAGTTGCCAATTAGCTGAGTAGGTGTCTGGCCCCTCTTCCTTGAAACAGACGCAAACCCTTACTTGTGTCAGTGACTGTAGAATAAGCATATTGCAGTGGATCTGTATTTATAGAATTCCCCAGTGCCCATGTATTTTGCTAGAAAAGGTTGGGAACAGATATCATCCCTGGAAAAGCCATCTGAAATTTAAAAGTTTTCACTCCCTTTATCCATGGAATAAGGGAAGCAAGAGTCCTTTTTTCGCCTATATCCTGCCACATCATCCAATTCCAGTTACCACTCCCTAAAAGACCTTGTTCATCAGTTTCTGTAAGGAAACAATACCATCAAGCCCCTCAAATAAAACCTCAAACTCCTACCAGCAACAAACCAAGGTGTCCACAGATGGCACATGAATTTTTATAGAAACTTATTCACCATGGCACTGTATTACTACCAGTGTTCAGGTTCTATTAGAGCACAGTCAAACATGAAAGGAAAAGGTGGGAGGAGTACTGTAATGCAGGGGACAGGAAGAAACTGTGCTTTACGTTTCTGTGGTATTCCAGGCCGATTCTATGGCCTGCTCATGTATATTTTAAAGTAATAGTTCTATTATTGGAACCAGGATTTCATTTTAAACCCACCTTGGGCAGCTGGATTATTAGGTTAGAGGATATCAAAGAACACTATTTGCCAGCCACTGCTCAGAAAGGTCAGACTTACAGGGAAATGTTTCAAGATCCTTTCTGAAATACATGATAAGGAAACATTCAATACAAATAGGAAAAAAAAATAGAAAGAAGAAATGTTTGACAGCATCACATCATAATTTTTTCCAAAGAAGAAGTCAAATATCAAAGCAACCACATTTTTAAAGGGTGGCATTAGATAGAAACAGAAGAAAACCAGATTCCCCAGGAAACACGAATGACAAACATAACAATGATGGATTATAAATAGAGCTTCATGATTGTGTAATTTTTACTTTTTGTATACCAAGCAATGATGAGCCTTAACAGTTCTTAAGTCGTATTGCCCAAATTTCAAACTTCATATAAACTTCAGTGTATGGTGATTGAATGCCTTTGGTATGAACTGTGAAGTAGAGAAGTGAAACCAGTATAAGAAAAGCAACAGAAAGAAAAAGGTAAAAAAGTGAGAACTGCTTCATAAACACAAAACAAATAGAGAACATGGAAAGGACAATTCTGACCTAGGAAATCTATGCAAGCACTAGGAGTAAGTGCCAGTTCACTTCAATCTCAGCCACTTCTGACCTTCCCGTATTCATCAGTCACCCCCTGAATGCACCTGTTTGAAGAGCATGGAATTGGTTCCATTCATCTTCATTGAATGCCACCAGCTCTGAGCCTGCAACACCAAAAGACCTAACAGCAGAGTTTGAACATACTTTCTTCTGCAAGTTGAATTTAAAGAAACAGAAAGTGAGACAAGAACCAGGAGTTTGTCTGAAAATCACCATCAGTAAAATCTTTGCATCTAGAATAGGTCTCAAAAGCTCCATGAGAGCAAAGGCACCTCTCTGGAGGTTTAAACAGTGACATTTTAAGGGACCCACGATGCTAACATTTTCAGCCATTTCTGCACAATGATAGGTGTTCAAAGGGGAGGCTGGAGGTTCAGAGCAGTTACACTCTATGCTGAAACTCCCTTGATCACATGCAGGCAGCCAGCATCTCAAGCAAGGCTGCCATCTTCTGTCTCATATCTGCTCAAAGACAAGCAAGTTCTGTACACACTTGTAGCAGCAAGTGTACATTTTAACATAGTGCCTTGAGTAGCCTCCACTGTCAAGCAGTCATGAAAGGCCCAACCTACAGATATGTAGTCCAGCAGTAGCATTGCTTTCATGCCTTAAAGCCCTCATAAGATGTTTCCCTGCCACATTAAACAGAACAGAACTGGGAATGAGAGTTTCCTAAATCAGGAGAGAATAATTATGACAATTACAACGTATTTAAGCTTATGTGCTGGCTGCTCTTGCTGCTGGCAATCTGAACAACAAAAGCACATTTCTGAAGGCGACTTACTTGAGGGAATCAGCGTTAGAATCACAGGGCAAATAATCCTCTAATTTGAACTTCTAATACCTTCTAAATCATGCATACCAGAAGTGCAACATTTCAGTTGCTTACCATATATTCATCCATATTATAAACTAGGAACTAAGGTCTAAAAAAAGTAAAAAATCCAAATGCAATTAAATAGAAATAAAATAAGTATGTTTGGATATTGCTGTAACCATCCAGTTAAACACAACAGTGGTATGACTAAACAGAGCAGATCTAAAATGAAACAGACTCTCCTACTTTGAAAGCCCACAGAACAAATCTGTTACTGCTAATGAAAGGCCAGCTGATTGCAGCACAAAGGTTATGTTTCAACTCAATGAATGTCTGAACCTTGTCCAGCTACAAGCCTTGATTGAAACAGATCAAAAAAATAAAATATTCCTTTAGTTATTAATGATTTTCCCATCAGCAGTATTCTAGTTTTATACTAGAGTCATTATCTGAAACATTAATCACCCTTTGCTAGTTCTAATCAAGTTCTACTCTTGTTTCTGCTGTTTTCTTTCCAAAGTGATTATGAATGAGTTGTTGGGACTGAATTCCCACTGTAGCATCAGAAAGTTAAATCACCTTTTCTGAAGACAGATGATTTCTTTAGAAACATCAGGCAGAAATGTTACAAATCAAGGAGCTTCCATTTTGAGTAACTGTGGTGTCATTAAGAAGCCCTCATGAAAACCTGCTCCCAGATCTGATACCTGGGATCTTGTTTATTTTAACAAGAACATCATTAAATAGACTTGCCCTCTTTAGATGGTAGAACCAATGTACCAAAATGCTAGGCTATGCATACGTAAATAAGGCAAAACAAGAGAAGAAATCCAAATTGGACCTTTTAATGAATTCAGAGCTCCTTCTCAATGAACTTGCACAAGTACTGTTTTTGATTCTGTCTTTTTTTTTTTTGGAAGGGGCCCTGGGCAACCTTGGACTTCTACCAGATCTGAAGGCTGGCAGTCCTGCCTGCAGCAAGGAGGCTGACACTTGATGATCCCTGGGGTCCTTTCCAACCCAAGCCATTCTATCGTTCCATGTAGGTGTGGCTTTTTTCCTGTCATATTAGAGTAGCTAACCAAAAAGAACAAGGAGATGATTAAGTGTGAAATCTACTGATGGAAAGTACCTGCTGATGCACTTTCAGGTACAGTTCAGACAGGATAAGCCCAGGCCAGAAGCATCCAAATACCTGATTCACACTACTTCCACTCAATAAAGTGAAAAATCAATTTACAGCAACAAAACAAACCCAAACAACTCCAGCAAATCATCATTCCAAAGCAATGCACCTGTATAAACCACCCTGAGACATTTACCCTTGAAAAAAATATTTGATGTTTTCTTGTCTTAGGTTGGGTGACCAGAGAAGTTTGCAAGTCATGTCAACTGTCTGTGACAATACATATTTCTTCCAACTCTGGCATGCCTTAGTGAATTTTGCTTGTTATATTTGACAGATGGCTATTAAGGCAAATTTCTGAAGGATATTGATGGGCAAAGAAAAATCCAGAATAGAAGAGAACTGTCACAATAAATTCTGAACAGGCAAAGAGGAAAGGGCGATTGCACCGAGTGACTGGAGGAGCAACACAAACTGGGGAGGAAAAAGAGTAGCAATAGCATTATTAGTGCCAGCATCAAAACCAAACTGCAAGATTTTCCTACTAATAGCTTCTGGCTTTGCCCATAGAGGGGATGGCATTTGACATTTTTTCCTTGTAATAAGTAATTTGTTTTTACAAAGCTGTGAGGAAATTGAACTTGTCAGCACGTTAAGTGCATTTGTCTCTGGGAATATAATAAACTACACACATGGAATTGATAGGTTTGGAAACTGAAATTAATGAAAAATTAGATTTGAAATCGTAACTTTTTTTAATCCACTCAGATGCTCAAGTTTTACCAGTTAACTATGCACAATAATTTAATCTTAAATAAAATCAATAGAAAATAAACATTACCAGGGCAGATAGTCTGGTAGAATAAATATTAAAATCAGTGCATTCCAGTTTTCCACTGACAATGCCTAATGTTACATTCACAGCTGAAAACTGACCAGATTTTAGTATAAATGTAGTATTTGGGTGTTTGTGTGTATATACAGAACATATATAACTGACATTTAAAAATTGGTGGCCAGACTCCTGCAAGTTTCTTTTAGCACTTGGAATATATATTGTAGACTGTGCATTAATTTAAAATAACTACATGGAGCAGCACGGGGTTAGTTGCTAGTTTCTTCTCCTCTAGGCTCAGCACATAACACTTACCTTGAAAACACAACAACAGGAAGAAAAAAAAAGTAGATTTGAGCTGTTGAACAACTTAGATTTCTGTTATGACCTTAACTGACAATGAGTAAATTACTCTGTGGTTTACAAGCAGCAATTATATTGTTTCTCAGAGTGAACTGCAAGGCACAGAGGAGAAAATTTTAAGATATTATGAAATTGACAGTTTTCCACAGTAGTTTAATGGTTTGTACAGAAACCTTTAATCCATTTTGGCACTATGTATCACATCTTTAGTTGGAAAAGACTTTCAAGTTGCTAGAACAACTTGCTCTCCTTAGCTTTTTTTTTTTTTTAAACATGCTGCTTTGCAGTCTATTTACCTGTGCCATACAGAAACTGCAGAAGACTTTTCTTTTGCTCAGTTATCATGGCTTAACTAGATTTGTGAAAGAAATACAACCATTTGAAAAACAAGATACACATACCACTGCTTACACCTTATCAACATAACGTGTACTTTAAGGTAACAGCTCTTTCCAAATGGAGGTCATACTCCAAGAAAGCAGTCTTAAAGACACTGCAGTTGTCAATTCAGCCTTGAAGCTAAATGGACCTCTACCCAAGAGGTGAAGCTGCAACAAGTTTACTCCCCAGCACATTCCTATTGTTCTAACTTACAAAGCTCCTCATCATCCCTCATATTTACTCACCATCAGTTCTGTCTCCACAAATAGATGCCATGCACCATATAAAGCTCATCAGGAAGGACGTTTCTCTACAGCAGTAACATTTCCTTTCATAAATGTCTCACCACCTTATTATGCACTGTGTTGTCCTCTCCTCTCTTGCTCCCTTGGGGAGCAATTTTCCTTGAAACCTGTGCTATAAGTTGCCAACAAAACATAAGTAGAATTGATATACAAAGGTGACATTACTTGCACTGTTCCTCTGCTGTAGCAAATAAGAATCAGACTTAAGCCCACCTTCTTGCCTACAAATGTGCTCATTCAGTCGCTGATAATCATTTCACGTGAATCCTATTACCCAGGAAATTATGTATTTCATGATCCCATCAGCTGCTACTGTCTAATAAAAAAAAAAATCTCACATTTCTTTCCTGTTCTCTCTCTCATTTAGGAGGAATCGTCCTTAAAATTTCATATGGTAAATTGCTTTGCCTTTTTTTCCACCTGTACTGGGGCCCAGATGTGTAACTACATGCAGGAGGAACTACCACCAGTGAAATAACATCAACCCTTGGCAAAGTCTTGCAAGGTTAAATTCTCAAAATCCTGAAACTATTCCCAGTTTGCAAACACCAATAGAAGCCATCTTACAGAGCATTCACAAGTTTGTGAAAGTTAGATTAATTACAGCCTATAGTGCTGCAACACACTGAACACCCTCGGGTCTCCAGCATAATATGATTCACATCACTGTTCAAATGATTGCTATTGCTCGAGACAGATGAAAAAACTCCTTCAAATGCAGGTCTTAATTCACACTCTGCTATAGGTTTATTTGCAGAGAAGGCTGCCCCTGAAAGGGACAGTGAGAAGCACAAGAACACAGCTTCTGCAGCAGGACTGTTGATAATAGCCCTAGGAAACATAGCTGGGATCCATTTAAACAGAATTTAGGAAGAAAATAATTATATTCCTCTATAAAACGTGCATCTAAAATTATAACCAGCTTCAGGGAAGTCCATCCAGATCCAAACCTACTTTTCAAAACAGGTACAGCATGCCCAGAGAGAGCAATCAGATCCTCCAGGGAGCATTCTTTGAACGTGAGTGCTGGAGAAGCACCTGAGTTTGTTAGCAGCAAAGCACTGGAGAATAAATCCAGGGAGAGAAAGCAGTTTAAACAATGACCAGAATACTTCCTGCTGCTATCTTCAAACAGTCCAAGCCATCCTCTCCCCCCTTCCTGTTTTCCTACAGCCCAATGCAGCATTGTGGAAGCCCTCCTGGCATTTGTTTTCAAC